TTGACCAAAAGAGACAGAGACAGAGTGAGAAAGCAAGCTGCCAGGTCTGGGACTAGAACTGTGGTCAGCCTTATGTGGGAGTTCAGCACCCCAATCAGCACATCACCTGCCAGCCCAAGAGAACTGTATTCTTCTGCATGCATGTCATTTAATTGCTGCGCTATGAGGCCAGCCCAAGGCCCAATAACTTTTTTTTTTGAATTTGCTATAGGGCATAACTGCTCACCATAGAGACAATAAGTGGCAGTGAGAAAGTATCCTCCATGGGGGTGGCCATGTAGCAACCCCTTCACTATTTGAGATTTGGGGCACACATGCACCTAGCATGTTTCTCAAGCTGCTGGGTCCAAGGTTCAGACTACACATTAGGCATGTGGCATCCAGCTGCTTTAACCACCACATCACCAGCTGGCCCAATTTTAGTATTTTTAAATTTGTTTTATGAACCCATGTTTAAACTGGATGAGAAAAATATTTTAAACTTTTCTTTGGTAACATAGCTGACTTGCCTATAACTGATTTCCTTCCTCTTCTCTCTCTTTCTTTTTTTTTTAAGAGAGGTTTTTGCTATAGGGGGGTGTGTGCTCGCCAGAAAGTCAGAGAGAGACAGAGAGACAGAAAGCGAGAAATCACCCCCCAGGGGGGATGGCCATGCCACAATCCCTTCTCCTCCATCCTTCTGACATATACTTAAATATTAGTTATTATTGATAACGTAAGTAAATGACTATCCCTGACCCCCCAGAATGTGGAATGAGTCTCGGTCACATAGTTCAGTCTCCTGCCGCCTTACATGCACACACCCTTGGATGGGCATCTACACAATGAACCTGTTTTTGACACATAGGTCAGGACCTAGACCGGATGTTCATTATCCTCATAAGTGAGCTTCCTGGAAAGACCTGTGTTAGTGCCATTGCATGACATTTTACAAATGGAGAAACAAGTTTATAGAGTGAATCAGCAAAGATATTAATATGCAGCAGAGGAGTTGGCCAGTGGAATCGTGGCTGGATCCCACATGGCCCACTGTGCAGTTAGAGTACGGGATTTTAAAAGCAATGGGGCAGGACTAACAGATGGCATAATGGTTACATCACTTGTCTCCCATGTAGTTGACCATGGTTCGAGTCCCTGACCTGGCAGCTTAAAACTCACACCAGGCATGTGAGCATGTGTGCCTGCATGCTTGAGATTCTGAGAGGAGAATGGAGGAGAAGGATTGTGTGTGGTGCGGCCATCACTTTCTGTCTGTCTCTCTGGAGAACATATGTGTGCTATAGCAAAAATCTCTCTGAAAAAAGGTTTCCTCAGTAACATATTTTTAAAATATTTTATTTAACTTTACTTGTTATTATTATTATTATTATTGAATTTGACCAGAGAGAGAGGAAAGTGAAAAAGGAAAGCCACTAGGTCTGGGACTCGAACTGCAGTTGGCCCTGTGGGAGTCCAGTGCCTCTAACCATCACACCACTAGGTCCAGTACTCAATACATTGTCGGCCATGTGGAAATCCACCAACTTAACCACCATGCTACCTTTTTTATTTTTAAAGAATTATTTTATTGGGACCAGCAGTTAGCGTAATGGCTATGTCGCTGAACTCCCATGTAGTCAACAGCAGTTCGAGTCTCGGACCTGGTGGCTTAAACTCACGCTGGGTGCATGTGCGTGTGTGCCCAAGATCCCGAGGGGAGAAAGGATTGCGGGGTGGCCATTCCCCCTGGGGGGTGATTTCTTGCTTTCTGTCTCGCTGTCTCTCTGTTTCTCTTTTTCTGGTGAGTACACGTACCCTATAGCAAAAACCTCTATAAAAAAAGAATGATTTTATTTAACCTCATTTATTTATATATATATATATTTTCAGTTTGACCAGAGAGGGGGACAGAGTGAGAGAGAGGGAGAGAAAGGGAAAGTGAGAAAGCAAGTTGCTAGGTCCAGGACTCTAACTGTGGTTAGCTGTGTGGTAATACAACGCCCGTAACCACCACACCACCTGCCGCCCCACAAGACTTTTTAGTTTTTAAAGTAAAGAAACTTTGTCATGATTTTTGAAATGGATACAATTTTATATGTATTCTAGGAGGTAATACAGATTTTCATTGAAGATAACTTAACCTTCAGTTTACCTGTCCAGTTCCGGCAATCAGTACTAAGAGAACTTTTTCAATACAACGCCCGTAACCACCACACCACCTGCCGCCCCACAAGACTTTTTAGTTTTTAAAGTAAAGAAACTTTGTCATGATTTTTGAAATGGATACAATTTTATATGTATTCTAGGAGGTAATACAGATTTTCATTGAAGATAACTTAACCTTCAGTTTACCTGTCCAGTTCCGGCAATCAGTACTAAGAGAACTTTTTCAGAAAGCTCAACAGGGGTAAGTTGAAAAATTAATTTCTTGATTTTTTTTTTTTTAAAGAATTATTTAACTTAAAATAACTTGACCAGAGAGGGAGAGAGGGTAGGGGGGAAGGAAAGAGAGAGAGAGAAAGCGAAAAAGTGAGAAAGCAAGCCACTAGGTCTGGGTCTTGAACTGTGTTTGGCCATGTGGGAGTCCAGTACCCTTAACCACCATGCCACCTGCCTGCCCCCATAGTTTCTTGATTTTTGATAAAGTAGCAAGTGCATTTTGGTTTATGAAAAACACTCCAAATTACCTATGAATTTGTGATATTACATTTACTTTTTAAAAATATTTATTTAATTTTATTTATCATGATCATTATTTTATAATTTGCTATAGGGAACACGTGCTCATCAGAGAGACATTGAGATAGAGAGGGAAGGCAAGAAAGCAGGCTGCCACATCTGGGACCACGCCACCTGCTGGCCCATCTTTCCTTATTTTTTTTTTCAAGAGTTTTTAAAGAGTTATTTTTTATTTAACTTCATTTATTTATTTTAATCTGACCAGAGAGAGACAGAGTGAGAGTGAGAGAGAAAGTGAGAAATCAAGCTGCCAGGTCAGCCATGTGGGAGTATAGCGCCCTTAACCACCACGCCACCTCCTGGCCCCTTTACTTTTTTTAATGCAAAGAAAATTAACATAGCCAGAAGGGCCACTCTAACGATATCTTTTTTTTGGGGGGGGAGAGGTTTTTGCTATAGCGCGTGTGCACTCACCTGAAAGACAGAGAGACAGAAAGCAAGAAATCACCCCCCGGGGGGATGACCACGCTGCAGTCCCTTCTTCTCCATACTCCTCTTGAGACCTTGCATGTACATGTACTCAGTGTGTTTAAGCCACCTGGTCCGGGACTCAAACCGCGGTCGACTACCAGCGACATAGCCATTTTGCCATCTACTGGTCCCAATCTGTTTTTATTTTCATTTTCATTTTTATTTAGAGTTTTTTTGCCTTAGCACACATGCATTTGACAGAGAGACAGAGAGAGACAGTGAGAAGGAAAGTGAGACATCACCAGCTAGGGAGGATGGTCACACCAGAGTGTCTGCTTCTTCATTTTCCCGCGATCTTGAGCATAGACACACACACATGTGTGCATGTGCCTGGCAAAATTTTCAAGCCACCAGTTCTGGGACATGAACCGTGGTCGGCCATGTGGGAGTAAGCAGCAATAATCATTACACCTCTGCTGGGCTCCATCTAATCTATTTTATTATTTTTTTTAGAGGTTTTCGCTATAGGGCGCATGCACTCGCCAGACAGAGAGAGACATAGAGACAGAAAGTGAGAAATCACCCCCCAGGGGGGATGGTCACGCCGCAATCCCTTCTCCTCCATTCTCCTCTCGGGATCTTGGGCACGCATGCACACGCGCCCGGCGTGAGTTCTAAGCCACCGGGTCTGGGACATGAACTGCAGTCGACTACGTGGGAATCCAGCGATATAGCCATTACGCTAACTGCTGGTTCCCACATCTAATCTATTTTTAAAATGCTTAGGATAGATAAGATACACCTAGCATAATTCCCTTTTAGTGTCTGATTTGTAACTAAATTGATAAATTCAAAACCTGTTCTGCTATTTTTCTTCTGTCTTGATATATATTATTAATAGTTTGAATGACTATCCTAAAATCTTACCTCTCAAGAATAAATGACTTGGGGACCAGCAGTTAGCGTAATGGCTATGTCGCTGGACTCCCACATAGTCGACCACGGCTCGAGTCCCAGACCCAGTGGCTTGAACTCATGCCAGGTGCGTGTGCGTGCGTGCCCAAGATCCCAAGAGGAGAATGGAGGAGAAAGGATTGCGGCGTGGCCATCCCCCCTGAGGAGTGATTTCTCACTTTCTGTCTCTCTGTCTCTCTCTGTCCTTCTGGCAAGCGCACATGCCCTATAGCAAAAACCTCTCCAAAAAAAAAAAAAAAAAAAGGATAAATGACTTGTTCTTGTGAGGTTAGGTTTATAGTAAATACCTTTTACTACCATAAAAATAACATTAGTGGATCTACTTTTGTACTCTACAGAAATGAAGCTCTAGATGAAGTCTGTTTTAAAGTCTGTTCCTGTAACACAGTCCGTGATATTTTGGAAGGTAGAACAGTTAGTGTTCAATTTAACCAGCTATTTCTTAGACCTAACAAAGAGAAAATAGACTTCCTTCTTGAGGTAAGACTTTTTTTCTTTTTTTGATTTATAATTCTGCTGTAAGCTTTCCAATGGCTTCTTAGTTGCCAAATCCAGGGCTCTCTTACTCTCTTTCTCTGTCTCTCTGGCGAGCACAGGCACCCTATAGCAAAAACTCTTTGGGAAAAAAACAAAAAAAAACAGTGTGTGAAGGTGGTGATTGACTGGGATCACATGTGTGCACCAGTGCACCTGGTTTTTAGAGCGGGTTGAGAATCAGATTTGGGCCTCTCATGTGACTTCAGCTGGTTGAGCACCAGCATCCAGTACATTGGGCTTAGATTTTTTTTTTTTTTTTAAGAATTATTCAAGTTTATTTATTATTTTTTATAAATTTGCTATAGGGCACATGTGCTTACCAGAGAAAGAGGAAAAGAAAGTGAAAAAGAAATAAGAATAAAATAGTGAGTAAGAATGAATAAGCAAGTCATCAGGTTTGGGACTCAAACCGTGGTTGGCCATGTGGAAGTCCAGCACCTTAACCACCACCCCACTTGCTGGCCCTGGACCTAGTTTTTTTTATATGGATACTTGAAAGTACCTTCTGCTTTGATATAGAGGTACAATTGAACATTCTAATAATTTTGTATCTGACATCTTTGCTATAAACTCTTAAAACATTTTGACTTATAAAGTCCTTATGTGTTTCTAAGTATATAGTCTTCGACTGTGAGCTTAGTTTTTATTTCTTTTTACTTGCTCGTATTGTGCCGACTGTGCCTCCAGTGTAATGTTCAGAGAAGGCGGCAATAGCGAACGTCCTGGTCTCATTCCCAGACTCTGGAGGAGCGTTTGCACTATTTCTCCATTTATAATGGAATCGTGTTTATTGTAGCTATTCCTTATTTGTTTAAGGGAACGTACCTTCTATCCTTAGTTCACTAAGGGTTCTTTTGTAAAATCATGGATAATTTTTGGATTTTATTTAATGCTTTTTCTATGTCTATTGAGATGATCACATCATTTTTTGACTTTTTTTTTTTTAAAGGTTTTTTTCCTTAGGGTGTGTGTTCTGGGAGCAGGGGGAGAGATAGACAGACAGAGATAAAGGGAAAGTGAAAAATCATCCCCCAAGAGGGATGGCCACACCACAGTCCCTCTCCATTCTACTCTCAGGATTTTGGGTACACACGCACATATGCCTGGCGTGATTTTGAAGCCACCGAGTCCAGGATGCAAACCATGGTAGACTATGTGGGAGTTCTACATTGTAATCACTATGCCATCTGCTGGTACCTCTCTTTTTGTTTTTTAAAGATTTATGAAATTTTATATAATAGTAGTAGTATTTTTAATTTGCTTTAGAGCATGTTTACTTACCAGAAAGAAAGGAATGGAAGGAGGAAGAGGGAAAGCAAGCTTCCAGGTCCAGGACCCAAACTGTAGTTGGCCATGTGGGAGTCCAGTTCCTTAACCACCATGCCATCTACTGACTCCAGTTTTTCTATTCTAATTTATTAATATAGTATAAAATACACTATTGTTACTTTTTTAATTTGCCAAGAGCTTGCAAGAGAAGATGAGGGACGGGGAAGGAGAGAGAGAGAGAAAGTGAGAAAGCACTGCCCTCATGCCTCCACCCCCACCCCTCCTGGTAGGGAGATGGCCACTCTGCAATCCCTTCTCCTCCGTTCTCTATTTGGGATTTGGGGCATGCACACATATGTGCCCAGTGGGTTTTTTCAGGTCACCAGGTCTGGGATGCAATCCTTACTGTTGGCCATGTGGGATCCAGCTGCCTCAACTACCACACTGCTGGCTGACCCTATTAATTGCTTTCAGATATTAAACTGTCTTTGTCTGTCTGGAATGAGCCCAACTAAGTCACAATATTCTTTTTAATAAGTATTGCTGAACTTTATTTGCAAGTGCTCTAAGATTCTATTACATTCCTTGTGAGATTGATTTTTAGTATTAGGGTCATGCTTGCCTTGTGAATAACCTGGAGCAAATATCTGTTAATATTTTATTGCCTGGAAGAGGTTGTATAAAAATGGCTTCATGGCTTCTATCAGTGTTGGGCAGAACTTAGCAATGAACAAATCCAGGGCTCTCTTACTCTCTTTCTCTGTCTCTCTGGCGAGCACAGGCACCCTATAGCAAAAACTCTTTGGGAAAAAAACAAAAAAAAACAGTGTGTGAAGGTGGTGATTGACTGGGATCACATGTGTGCACCAGTGCACCTGGTTTTTAGAGCGGGTTGAGAATCAGATTTGGGCCTCTCATGTGACTTCAGCTGGTTGAGCACCAGCATCCAGTACATTGGGCTTAGATTTTTTTTTTTTTTTAAGAATTATTCAAGTTTATTTATTATTTTTTATAAATTTGCTATAGGGCACATGTGCTTACCAGAGAAAGAGGAAAAGAAAGTGAAAAAGAAATAAGAATAAAATAGTGAGTAAGAATGAATAAGCAAGTCATCAGGTTTGGGACTCAAACCGTGGTTGGCCATGTGGAAGTCCAGCACCTTAACCACCACCCCACTTGCTGGCCCTGGACCTAGTTTTTTTTATATGGATACTTGAAAGTACCTTCTGCTTTGATATAGAGGTACAATTGAACATTCTAATAATTTTGTATCTGACATCTTTGCTATAAACTCTTAAAACATTTTGACTTATAAAGTCCTTATGTGTTTCTAAGTATATAGTCTTCGACTGTGAGCTTAGTTTTTATTTCTTTTTACTTGCTCGTATTGTGCCGACTGTGCCTCCAGTGTAATGTTCAGAGAAGGCGGCAATAGCGAACGTCCTGGTCTCATTCCCAGACTCTGGAGGAGCGTTTGCACTATTTCTCCATTTATAATGGAATCGTGTTTATTGTAGCTATTCCTTATTTGTTTAAGGGAACGTACCTTCTATCCTTAGTTCACTAAGGGTTCTTTTGTAAAATCATGGATAATTTTTGGATTTTATTTAATGCTTTTTCTATGTCTATTGAGATGATCACATCATTTTTTGACTTTTTTTTTTTTAAAGGTTTTTTTCCTTAGGGTGTGTGTTCTGGGAGCAGGGGGAGAGATAGACAGACAGAGATAAAGGGAAAGTGAAAAATCATCCCCCAAGAGGGATGGCCACACCACAGTCCCTCTCCATTCTACTCTCAGGATTTTGGGTACACACGCACATATGCCTGGCGTGATTTTGAAGCCACCGAGTCCAGGATGCAAACCATGGTAGACTATGTGGGAGTTCTACATTGTAATCACTATGCCATCTGCTGGTACCTCTCTTTTTGTTTTTTAAAGATTTATGAAATTTTATATAATAGTAGTAGTATTTTTAATTTGCTTTAGAGCATGTTTACTTACCAGAAAGAAAGGAATGGAAGGAGGAAGAGGGAAAGCAAGCTTCCAGGTCCAGGACCCAAACTGTAGTTGGCCATGTGGGAGTCCAGTTCCTTAACCACCATGCCATCTACTGACTCCAGTTTTTCTATTCTAATTTATTAATATAGTATAAAATACACTATTGTTACTTTTTTAATTTGCCAAGAGCTTGCAAGAGAAGATGAGGGACGGGGAAGGAGAGAGAGAGAGAAAGTGAGAAAGCACTGCCCTCATGCCTCCACCCCCACCCCTCCTGGTAGGGAGATGGCCACTCTGCAATCCCTTCTCCTCCGTTCTCTATTTGGGATTTGGGGCATGCACACATATGTGCCCAGTGGGTTTTTTCAGGTCACCAGGTCTGGGATGCAATCCTTACTGTTGGCCATGTGGGATCCAGCTGCCTCAACTACCACACTGCTGGCTGACCCTATTAATTGCTTTCAGATATTAAACTGTCTTTGTCTGTCTGGAATGAGCCCAACTAAGTCACAATATTCTTTTTAATAAGTATTGCTGAACTTTATTTGCAAGTGCTCTAAGATTCTATTACATTCCTTGTGAGATTGATTTTTAGTATTAGGGTCATGCTTGCCTTGTGAATAACCTGGAGCAAATATCTGTTAATATTTTATTGCCTGGAAGAGGTTGTATAAAAATGGCTTCATGGCTTCTATCAGTGTTGGGCAGAACTTAGCAATGAAGCCTGAGCCTAGAGATTTTTTCGATGGGAAGATTTTTGGCATTGCTTTAGTTTCACCAGTAGTAATAGAACTATTCTGTTTTTGTTTTTCTTAAGTTTGTTTTAAGAAGTTACTTTCTTTATTTTTGGGGAGGTGGGCATTTCTGCCATAAGGCTATATGCTTGCCAGAGACACCGAGAGAGAGAGAGAGAGAGAGTCAGAGAGTCAGAGAGTCAGAAAGCTAGAAATCACTCCCCAGGAGATAACTGAGCTACAATCTCTTCTCCTCCGTTCTCCTCTTGGAATTTTGGGCATGCATGCACGCCAGTGTGAGTTTTTAACTGCAGGTCCAGAACATGAATCATCATAGTGAACCCTGAGGAAGTCCGGTGCCTTAGCCATTATGCAGCCTGCTGGCCCAGAAGTTATTTTCTAAGAATTGACCTACTTCATCCAAATTTTTATGTTTGTTAGTATTAAAACTTAGTATCTTTTTAATGTTTACAACTTCTGTTGAGGGTCCACTAGCTCATTTTTTTAAAGAGTTATTTATTTTATTTATTATTATTTTAATTTACCAGAGAAAGAGAATGTGAGAGAAAGCAAGCTACCAGGTCCAGGACTCAAACTTAAGTCAGCTGTGTGGGAGTCCAGTGCCTTAACTACCACATCACTTGCTGGTCCCACTAATTTATTTTTTTAATTAAATAACTTTAAAAAAATAATTATTTAGTTAATTTTATTTATTATTGTTCTTCAGTTTGACCAGAGAAAAAGAGGGAGGGTGAGAAAGCAAGTCACCAGACCCAGGACTTGAACCATGATTGGCCCTGTGGGAGTCTGGCACCTTAATCATCATGCCACCAACCAGCCCCATAACTTGTTTTCTGTTGAGGTTTTTGCCTTAGGGTGCATGTGCTCGCCAGAGAGAGAGAAAAAGAGAGAGAGGAGGGAAAGTCAAAAATTCCCTGGGGGGCAGGGCATGCACACATACGTGCCTGGCATGCTTTTCAAGCCACTGGGTCTGGAACTTGAACCATGGTCAGCCATGTGGGAGTCCAATGACATCACCACTGTGCCATCTGCTAGCCCCATTAAGTAACTTCTTAGAAATTGAGAAATTCATATAACATGTGATCTGTTGTGTTTATCAGAAGTTAACAACGCTTAGTTCCCACGTGTTTAGTGACTCATGGACAATGTAACTTTGTATGTGAATAAATGATGCGTCAGAAAAGGACTCATGTATTAGTTACCATGATGATATCTTTTCTTTAAAGAATTTATTTATTTTTAATTTGACCATAGATGGACAGAGTGAGAGAGAAAGAGAAAGGGAAAGTGAGAAAGCAAGCCATTACATCTGAGACTTGAACCATGATCGACCAAGTGGGAGTCTAGCACCCTTAACCACCACACCACCTGCCAGCCACAAGTATAGTACTTTTTAACTACTGGATGTCTTTTTGTAACCATTTAATATGTACAGGCTGGGAGCCGGATGGTAGCACAGTGGTAGTGCAGTGTTCTGTGGGACTGATCTATAAGAGAGACAAGATAGACACCTTCGATGGGGTCTATATGCCATAGTCCTTCTTCCAGGCCTGCACCCAACTAGGGTCAGGGTAGGCATGCTCAGTGTGTTGAAGTAGACCTGGAACACGAACCCAGAACCTTCCCATAGGATCTCTAGCGCAACATAGCAGCACCCGTATGGTTGGCCCCATTGTTACTTTTTAAACCTTAATTACCTTCAGAACCATTGATTTTGTTCATTAGCTATTATCACTCATTCATTTTTATATTTAGTTTATTTTTCCATGAAGTCAGGGAGAACGGGGAGGGGGGCGGAAATCAGCCTTAATAGGGTCTTCACACTAGGGACCAGCAGTTAACGTAATGGCTGTGTTGCTGTACTCCCATGTAGTTGATTGCGGTTCGAATCCTGGACCTGGTGGCTTAAACTCATGCCAGGCACGTGTGCGTGAGTGCCCAGGATCCTGAGAGGAGAATGGAGGAGAAGGGATTGTGGCATGGCCATCCCCTCTGAGGGGTGATTTCTCGCTTTCTGTCTCTCTGTCTCTGTCTGTCTTTTTGGCGAGTGCACGTGCCCTGTAGCAAAAACCTCTCCAAAAAAAGAAAAAAAAGGGTCTTCACAACCTCAGCTCAAAAATGTGAACATGTGTGCTTGGCATGCACATGGGACATGAACTCAAGACATTTCCATGTACCTCAGCATCATGGAGCATTGCGCTACTTCTCTGCCACTGCAGCTGGCTAATTGCTCGTTCTTATTAACATTTCTTTTTTTAAAAAAAGAATTATTTTTATTTAACTTTATTTATTTATTTATGTTTAACTTGAACAGAGAGGGACAGAGCAAGAGCAAAAGAGAAAGTGAGAAAGCAAGCTACCAGGTCCAGAACTCGAACCGTGATCGGCTGTGTGGGAGTCCAGTGCCCTTCACCATGCCACCTGCCGGCCCCCTTATTAACTGTTAACTACTGAATCACTAAGTTTATCACTCTGTATAATTGCCAACATATTTCACAAATTCTGAGAGAGCTCTGTAGTGTGCTAACTAGACTGTTATTTACTGCATATAAATACAGCGGTTATTGAAATGCTCACATTCTAATCTCTCTTTAGAATATTGGGTTGTCAGAAAAGGTATGACACATTTTTGCATAGATAAAGTATGTCAGACTTTTCTGATAACCCAATAGATACTGTAACTTGGTCTCTTAAATTATTTAAGAAAGTCTATCATTGATACATGGTTGAAAGGAAAATTCAATGGTTTTAAAAATCTAAACTTTTCTAACTGTATAATTTACATTTTTAAAGTACTCATATTCAAATAAAAATCACTCGAATTCCTAGGTATGTTCACGATCAATAAATTTAGAAAAAGCTTCAGAGTCTTTGAAAGGAAACATGGCTGCTTTTCTCAAGTAAGTACTTTTTTTTGTTTGTTTCGTTTTTTAAACTTTGAACTTTTTTGTTTTTTAAACTTAGAGCCCTGTGAGAAAAGTATCTATTATCACTTACCTTTTTGCATTCATCCTGCATATCTTATAAGCAAGCAGTAACTAGTATTTAATAACCAGTTCTGGTTTAGTTAATATTTGTGTAACCACATGAGACTTTAGGATTATATACTAGATGATCTTTTTAATTTACTTTTTGGTATATTGTGGCATTTACATCACAATTTTACATAAGGACTAGAGAGAAATGAAAAAATATACTTTAGAGTAATATATAATTTAAGAAATGATGGTTAAATGGATTATTAATAAAAATTGATTGACATGATTGTTTTCCCCAAAACTAAATTATACACTTTTTTGTTTTATAATATTTCTTACTGATCTAGGAATGTGTGTCTGGGGTTGGAAGATCTGCAGTATGTTTTCATGATTTCTTCACATGAGCTTTTCATTACATTGTTGAAAGATGAAGAACGAAAACTACTTGTTGATCAGATGAGGAAGAGATCCCCTAGAGTAAATCTGTGCATTAAGCCTGTCACTTCATTTTATGATATCCCAGGTTAGCTCTCTAGTCTGCCAGCTAAATGTTGGCACATTTTTGCCCCTCTGTTCAAATTAACATTGAAATATATTTGAGGATTCCCTCTTACTTGTTTTGGATTATAATGTGTGTCAGTAATTTGATAGAAACTTACCTGTCTTCCATAGTCAGATTTCTGTAAAAGCAGTTGTAGTTAAGTGCTCGGACTCTGTTGAGCCTCTGGTTAATGAAGATTTAGGTCTAGATACATAAAAGATTTAAGTTGGAGAACTAGACTAAGGTAACTCTGGTAATGTGTCCTTGGAGGTAAAAAAACAAGAATTGGGGTGGAGTGGTAAGGGATGCTGGCACCAAAAAGCAAAGGTACACCCTATGGTTCAGCCTGTATCACTGTGCTCCTATCTGCTGGCTAAGCCTTTAGCAGTTTTGCCATTTTTGCCTTAAAATAATTTGATAATTTTCTTCTGTTTTTGTTTTTGTTGATATATTTAAGTAAGAAATACAGTGCTGTTCATTCATAAGACACATAAGCTTCAAAACTTAATGTAGACGAGACAGGATTCCTTTGGTTTCTCAAAAACAAAATCGTAGCTGCTTTGGGTCTCACTAGATTTGAAGTTGTTGAATGTTCAGTTGTAAAGGAATAGAGTAGAATCGGGGCCAGCAGGTAGCATAATGGTTAAGGCACTGGGACTCCCACATGGCTGACTGCTATTTAAGTCCTGCACTTGGTGGAGACTTTAAACTCATGCTGGGCATGTGTATGTGTGCCCCAAATCCCAAGAGGAGAATTGAGGAGAAGGGATTGTAATGTCACTCCCCCGAGGGAGTAACTTCCTAATTTCTCTCTCTGTCTTTGGTGAGCACCAAATAAAATAAATTAACACATGTACAATTCTGGAAATACATTATTAAAAATTATAGATGAGCTGTAATTAGAGATTTTAATGATCATCTTTGGTTTTCTGGGAAAGGAATGCCTCTATCTTTTATTTTTTTTTTAGGTTTTTGCCATAGAGTACATGTGCTCAGCAGAGAGAGACAGAGACAGTGAGAGGGAAAGTGAGAAATCAACCCCCAGGGAGATGATTTGCTCTATAATCTGTTCTCCATTCTTCTCCTGGGATCTTGGGCACAACTGCTCTATAATCTCTTCTCCATTCTTCTCCTGGGATCTTGGGCACACACGCATACGCCTGGTGATTTTCAAGCCACACCTGGTCCAGGACTCGAACTGCTGTCTGCCATATGGGAGCCCCATGCCTTAACCACCAAGCCAATTCTGGCTCCAGAATGAACATTTCATACATGCTTTTGTTTTTGTTTTTGTTTTTTGTTTTGAGAGGTTGTTGCTATAGGGTGCGTGTGCTCGCCAGACAGACAGAGAGTCAAAAAGCGAGAAATCACCCCCCAGGGGGGATGGCCACGCCGCAATCCCTACTCCTCCATTCTCCTCTTGGGATCTTGGACATGCACGCACACGCGCCCAGCATGAGTTAAAGCCACTGTGTCTGGGACACGAACCACGGCCGACTACATGGGAGTCCAGCGACATAGCCATTACGCTAACTGCTGGTCCCCATACATGCTTTTGTTAATACATTATGTGTACAAATAGGAATCTGTGTGCTTAATTTTTTATTCAACATAGTTCCCATGAACTAGTTTTTGTCTTTTACATTTGTTTATAGTTTTATTATTTTTTAGGTGTATTCATTTATTAAATGCAGTTAATAATACAAATTGTGTTAGGTTTTCTATATGAGGATAAAGTTATATAATTTACGCTATGTTTGAGAAATTAGTTCTAAAAATCGTGGCTGTTTTTAACTCATAAATATAGTAGAAACACAGTTTCTCTAAATTTGTCATTTTTATATTTATGCCTTTAAATGCTTACATATACAGTTGAACTAAATCATTATCAAAATGGAAATCTTCTCTTTCTGTTTTAGCCTCAGCAAGTGTCAACATTGGCCAGTTGGAGCATCAGCTTATATTGTCAGTGGACCCCTGGAGGATTCGACAGATTTTAATTGAATTGCATGGTATGACTTCAGAGCGCCAATTCTGGACAGTGTCTAATAAGGTAAGACTATACAGTCGGCTATATGGAATCTCGCTTTCTTAGCCACTAAGGCTGTGGATCTGGCCCATATGAATGATTTGTGTGTCTGTGATCAAAGATTATTCAAAGATTTTTACGTAAATTTGACTTTCTCTATGTGTGTGTATTTTTATTTCTTCCAGTGGGAAGTTCCTTCTGTGTATAGTGGTGTTATACTGGGAATTAAAGATAATTTAACAAGAGATTTGGTTTACATTCTGATGGCCAAAGGTTTACACTGCAGTACTGTTAAGGTGAGTAACAGTGTGTGTCAAACACTTGTTGAGAATGTGCTTTAATAATTGTAGCAGGAAGCCAGAAATCAGAACCTGTTATCTTTTCTTTTTTTGAGAGGTTTTCGCTATAGGGCACGTGTGCTCGCCAGACAGAGAGAGACAGAGAGACAGAAAGTGAGAAATCACCCCCTAGAGGGGATGGTCATGCTGCAATCCCTTCTCCTCCATTCTCCTCTTGGGATCTTGGGCACGCACGCACATGCGCCCGGCGTGAGTTTTAAGCCACCGGGTCTGGGACTTGAACCGCAGTCGACTACGTGGGAGTCCAGCGACATAGCCATTACACTAACTGCTGGTTCCCCCTGTTACCTTTTCTTGATCTTAAAATCATATTCAGAGGCCTAAAAGAATATTCTGAGAGATGTTTTGGTATGTTCTTTTTCCTTTACCCTTAAAATTATACCAAAATGGTCTTTGAAAAACAATATGTAGTATCATTTTTTTCTTTCCTTCACTGGGCTCCCATGTAGTCGACCATGGTTTAAGTCCCAGACCCGGTGGCTTAAGCTCACGCCAGGTGCATGTGTGTGCATGCCCAAGATCCCGGGAGGAGAAGGGATTGTGGAGTGACCATCCTCCCAGGGAGTGATTTCTCGCTTTCTGTCTGTCTTTCTGGAGAGTGCACACACCCTATAGCAAAAATCTCTCAAAAAAAAAAAAAAAATTGATACAGGGGGACAGCTGGTGGTGTGGTAGTAAAGATGGCTGAATCTCACATTGCTAACTGGGCAGTTCAAATCTTGGAGCCTGCGGGTTGAAAAAAACATGCTGAGCATGTATGCATTCATGCTCAAAATCCCAAGAGAAGAATGGAGGAAGAGAAAGGGATTGAGGTGTGGCCATCCCCCTAGAGAGTGCTTTCTGAACTTCTCTCTCTTTTGCTGTCTGGCAAGTGCATATACCCTATCACAAACTAAAATATATAAATCCCGTCTAATCTAAAAAAAAATGATCCAGGAAAGTAAAACTTTAATGTAAGAGGTTTTAATATTGAAATGATTAAAGAATCTTTTGAAGATAATGCTCTAGACCAGTGGTTCTACAAGTATGGCCTCTATACCAGCAGCATCTGTAACATTTGGGAATTTGTTAAGATTGTTGGGCCCTGCCCTAGACATCAGTCAGAAACTCATATGATGGGGCTTAACATCATCCTGTCTCAATAAACCTCTGAGGTCATTTGGATGCCTGCTAAAGTTTGAGAACTGCTCTAGACCAGCACTGTCTAATGGAAATATAGTAAATCACTGTATGTGATTTACAGTTTTTGTAGTAGCTACATTTTGAAAGTACAGAAAAGGTGAAGTTAATTTTAATGCTGTATTTTATTGAATGCAGTATATTTAAACTATCACTTCAACATGTAATCAGTATAACAAATTATTGAGATATTTTCTGGTTTTTTCTTTTTTTTTTTTTTTTTTTTCAGTTTGTGTGCTAAGTCTTCAAATCCAATGAATATTTATCCTTGCAACACCTCTTTATTTGGGCTGGTCATATTCCACATGCTTGTATCTAGTGCTGCCATCTTGGGCCATGCATCACTAGAGAATTCTGTCATTGAACAGGTTATATTAGAAAGCAGGTATCCAACAGCTTTTCTCTTTCCGTCTTTTTTTTTTTTTTTCAATAGAGAGAAAGCACCCCCTACTGGGAATGGTCATACCACAATCCCTCTCCATTTCTCCCTCTGTTGGCTCCTGGATTTTTTTCTTTAATTATAATATAATTTTATGATGATGATGATGATGATGTATGCTCACAGAGAGAGAGAAAGAAAGAAAGCTGCTATGTCTGGCACTTAAATCATGTTCAGCCACGCGAGAGTCTAGCACCTTAACCACCATGCTACCCCCTGTCCCCAGGCCCTGGATTTTTTAATGATGCAAGAATTAAATATTTATTTGAATAAATTAAAACAGAGACAGTAAATAAAAAGATAATCTACACTCACTCCCCAAGATAAAAGTTAATTAATCCTTCTCTTTGTTTTATACTCTGAAAGCATACATTGTTTGATTCCGTAAGTAAGGTGACCCATGCTGTTCTGATATTTCTTTTTTTAGGACTTTTCCCATGCTAAACAGCTGTTTGCTGCTTGTTTGGAGTTGGTAACAGAGTTCTCACCAAAACTTCGTCAGGTCATGCTGAATGAAATGCTGCTTTTGGATATTCATACGCATGAAGCCGGAACAGGGCAATCAGGAGAGAGACCTCCTACTGACCTCATTAGTAGGGTACGAGGATATCTGGAAATGAGGCTTCCCGGTAAGACTGTTTCACAACGCTAGGTTTTTAAAGTTCAGTACTCAAATAATTTTGGGGTGAAATTTTAAAAAAACATTTATTTGACTTTTTGCCATCTTTAAAAGTGTTATTTTTCTCCTTAAACAGAATTCAAATTTGTACTTCTTTTGCCAACAATGGGAAAAATGAAGGAAACTTCATTTCTTAAGATTTTTGTGACAGAGTACCATAAACTGAATGATTTCAAACAACAGAAATTTCTTCTTGTGGTTCTGGAGGCTAGATGTCTAAACTCAGGTGTCTGTGGGCCAAACTCCTTCCCAAGGCTCTAGGGACCAGTCCTCTTTTGCTTCTTCCTAGCTTCTTGTGACTGCCTGCAGTCCTTGGCTTTTCTGGTCTTAGAGCTGCATTGCTCCAGTCTTGGCATCTGTCTTCACATGGCCTTCCTGCTGTGTGTCTATTTCTTCTCTCCTTGTAAGGGCACCACCAGTCATTGCATTTAGGGGCTGCCCTGATACAATAGGACCTCACCTTAACTCTGATTATTACATTTGCATAGACCCAGTTTACCAAAAAGCCCACATTCTGAGGTTCCAGGTAGACATGAAATTTTGGGGAGATACTGCTAAATACACTACAGAAACTATGTTGCAATACTCTATCAAAAGGATCAGAATGTTCTCGAGTGTGTAGGATGAGTGTGTAGGATGAAAGATTATTTCCTCATCATTGCATAAAATGTCTTCAAACTAGGTGGCCAGTGGGCCAGAAGTCACTTGTGACCACCCTAGAAACAGATCTTGTGTGTCCATTTACAATTGTAAATATCTTATTGTGGAAAGAAAACATATAAATGATTGTGTTTGTCTTTCTTAGTTAAAACAATTTCTTAATCTTTTTTTTTTTTTATTTTTTGGAGAGGTTTTTGCTATAGGGCACGTGCGCTTGCCAGCCAGACAGAGACAGAGAGACAGAAAGCGAGAAATCACCCCCCAGGGGGGATGGTCACGCCGCAATCCCTTCTCCTCCATTCTCCTCTTGGGATCTTGGACACGCACGCACATGCACCCGGCGTGAGTTTTAAGCCACCAGGTCTGGGACGCGAACCGCGGTCGACTACATGGGAGTCCAATGACATAGCCATTACGTTAACTGCTGACCCCCAACAATTTCTTAATCTTACATATTTTAATAAGAATAGCTGGAACAACTAAGTCATTTAATACCATCAGCAGTAAAATTGAGTTGGTAAAGGAAGGTGTTAATAATGTACCAAAACAGGGACCAGCAGTTGGCATAATGGTTACATTGCTGGACTCTCACATAGTCCACCGTGGCCCAGAACCAGCAACTTAAAACTCAACTTGGGTGTGTGCATGCGTGTCCAAGATCCCAAGAGGAGAATGGAGGGAGAAGGAATTGTGGGCATGACCACCCCTCTCCCTACCTCCTGGGGGATGATTTCTCGCTTTCTGTCTCTCTGTTTCTCCGGTGAGCATATGCCCCAAAGCAAAAAAAAATCTCTCTCAAAAAAGGGAGGGAGGGTACCAGCAGGTGGCATGGTGGTTGAGGGTGCTGGACTGTCACATGGCCGACCGAGGTTTGAGTCCCAGACCTGCTATCTTGCTTTATGTCTCTTTCTCTGGTCAAATTTAAATAAATAAAGGAAGAAGGAAGAAATAGATAAATATAAATAGATACATAAATAAATAAAGTGAAATAAAATAATTCTTTTTAAAAAAGATTTAAAAATGTAATAAAATAACATGCCAAAACAAACTAACTGCTGGCTTTCTGGGGTCTGATAGATTAATTTATTACATTCTAATTTCCAGCAGGGGCATGTGGTTATAAATCACAGCTTTTTAGCACTCTATAGATGTAATTCCTTTGAAACTTAATGTGACAGCATCCTTTAATATCAGTCTTTATAAAAATTGATCTAATAATATTCCAGCACTAAATATTGATGAAATATAGGCTATACATTAATTATTCTAAGACCACTTATGTAGGATCGCTTTCTGTTCACACATATGTCCTGGTTATCTTGCATATTTTCAGCAGAATTGAATGTTAGGCTTACTCTGGCCATTAAAGCACGTGACCCATTCTGCACTTACTTTTTTTCCCCCTAAATTTTTGTGATAGGGCATGTGTGCTCACTGAAAAGAGACAGAGAGAGGGAAAGTGAGAAATGCCCCCCAGGGAGGATGGCCACATGGCAGTCCCTTCTCTTTCATTCTCCTGTTGGGATTCTGGTCACACACGCACACACATCCAGTGTAATTTTCAAGCCACCAGGTCTGGGACTTGAACTGCGATCAACCATGTGGGGAGTCCAGTGCCTGTGTTACCATACCAGCTGTTCAACTCCCCCCCCCTTTTAGAAAACAAAAAGGATTATTTTATGTTATTTTATTTATTATCATCATTATTATTTGTTTAATTTGACCAGAGACCGACAGAGAGAGAAAAAGGGAAAGTAGGGAGGCAAGCCTCCAGGTCCGGAACTAGAACCATGGTTGGCCATGTGGGCGCTTCAACTACCATGCCACCTGCTGGCCCCACCTCTTTATTTTTTAAATGATTGTGTGCATACCAGAGAGGAAGCTAAGCATCCTCAGTAAGGTCTGGTCATGCCAGTATCCCTCCAGATCTTGAGCATATTTGTGTGCATGCCCAGTATGTTTTGGGTCAGGGACCTAAACCCAAGGTTGGCCATGTGGCTTTGCAGACCAGCTCGCTACTGAATGTATATTGAAGGTGCTTAAAGGGATGTGTACTTCCTTAATCACTACTTGCCAGGCTGTATCAGTATCCCACCCTGTGGATTCTTATTCTCCTTTAAAAATCATTCCTGTACTGAGCCAGTATTATTATTTTATTTTATTTTAATTAATTAATTAATTTATTTATTTATTTATTGGAGTGGTTTTTGTTATAGGATGCGTGCACTCTCCAAAAAGACAGAGACAGAGAGACAGAAGGCGAGAAATCACCCCCTGGGGGGGATGGCCACACCGCAGTCCCTTCTCCTCCATTCTCAGGATCTTGGGCACACACACAGATGCGCTTGGCGTAAGTTTAAGCCACGGGGTCTGAGACTTGAGCCGCAGTCAACTACATGGGAGCCCTGCAACATAGCCATTACACTAAACTACTGGTCCCAAATATAAATTAAATAGCCATAGAAGGACTTTAGAAAGACTAGAAAATATAGGTTTTTGTTTTGTTTTGTTTTGTTTTTGTTTTTTTTTTTTGGAGAGATTTTCACTGTAGGGCGCGTGCGCTCGCCAGACAGACAGAGAGAGACATAGAGACAGAAAGCGAGAAATCACCCCCCAGGGGGGATAGTCACGCCGCAATCCCTTCTCCTCCATTCTCCTCTCGGGATCTTGGGCACGCACGCACACGCGCCTGGCATGAGTTTTAAGCCACCGGGTCCGGGACACGAACCGCGGTCGACTACGTGGGAGTCCAGAGACATAGCCATTACGCTAACTGCTGGTTCCCTGAAAATATAGGTTTTTTCAAAAGAGTTTAAGAAATGTCCATTTTGGGCCAGCTGGTGGCTTGGAGGGTAAGGCAACTGAATACCATGTGGTCATCTTTGTGCTTCAAGTCCTGGACCCAGTAGATTGAAAAAAATGACAGGTATAGGGAACCAGCAGTTAGCGTAATGGCTATGTCGCTGGACTCCCACGTAGTTGACTGTGGTTCGCGTCCCGGACCCGGTGGCTTAAAACTCACGCTGGGTGAGTGTGCATGCGTGCCCAAGATCCCTAAAGGAGAATGGAGGAGAAGGGATTGCGGCGTGACTATCCCCCCTGGGGGGTGATTTCTCGCTTTCTGTCTCTATGTCTCTCTCTGTCTGTCTGGCGAGCGCACGTGCCCTATAGCGAAAAAAACCTCTCCAAAAAAAAAAAGACAGGTATATATATGTGTGCGTGCAAAGAAAAAAACCTTAGGGGAGAATGGAGCAGAAAGGATTGTGGCATGGCCATCCACCAGGGGGAGGACTTCTCACATTCCCTCTCTGTCTCTTTCTGGTAAAGGCACATGCCTTGTAGGAAAGACTTAAAAACAGACAAAAAAACTCCCTCTTACCATGGTTATTTAGGATTTATTATAATTTCTTTTCTTTTTCCTGAAGTACATTAAAACCTGATATTACATACTTTGAGCTACTTAAGTTTAAAACATTAGATTTAATAATTATGTAAAAGGAAACAATGTTCAAGGCCAGCAGGTGGCATGGTGGTTAAGGTGTTGGACTACCACATGTGCAACTGAGGTTCAAGTCTCAGACCCAGAGATTTGAAACCTCACACTGGGCACATGTGTGTGTGTGCCCCAAATCCCATGAGGAGAATGTAGGAAAAGGGATTGCCGTGTGGCCATCCTCCCTGGGGAGTGATTTTTCACTTTTTCTCTTTGTCAGTGGCAAGTACACATGCCCTATAGCAAATAATCTCTCAAAAAAAAAAAAAAGTTGGAAATAGTTTAGAAGCTTTAAACTTTCTAGAGAAAAGTATCAAATGCTAGTTTAAAATTTTTTTATCTATAGCTTTCGTTTTTAATTGATTCAACTAGAATCTGAGCAGATACTTGGTTTGTTCTTATTTTAATGTAATGATAATGCCAACTATTTCCTTGCTTGCTTTTAGATATTCCTCTTCGTCAAGTTATAGCTGAGGAGTGTGTTGCTTTTATGTTAAACTGGAGAGAGAATGAATACCTAATGCTGCAAGTTCCTGCGTTTCTGCTTCAGAGTAATCCGTATGTAAAGGTAAAGTTTACTTGCTATCATTGGAATGTTTTTTGTTTTTTGTTTTTTAAAAAGATTTTTTGCTGTAGAACAGGTGCACTTCTAGAGAAAGAGACAGACACAGTACAGTGAGAGGGAAAATGAGAAATCACCCTCTAGGGGCAATGGCCATGCCGCAGTCCCTTCTCCATTCTCCTCAGAATCTTGCGCATGCATGCACACGTACTGAGCCTGAGTTTTAAGCCACTGAGGCCGGGGCTTGAACTGCAGTTGACTATGTGGGAGTCTAGCAATGGAACCGTTACACCAGCTACTGGTCTCTGCACTTTTTAACATGGGCTCATACATACATACATATATATATATATTTTTTAATTATTTTATTATTTATTTATTTTTAAATTTGACCAGAGAAAGAGAGGAAGCAAGCTGCTATGTCTGGATCTTGAACTGCGGTCAGCCATGTGGGAGTCCAATGCCTGAACCACCACACTGTTTTCCAGTCCCAGGATCATACAAACATTTGGCAACCTTTTTTTTCTTCCTAGTCACATTCTTCTTTCTATGGTCTCACTTTTGTTCTTAATAGACTATACTTGTTCTGAAACAAACATTTATATGGTAAGATTATTGAGAATCTCCTTCCTCTTCCTGATTCTGATCTGTCAGTAGATAATGTGTCCTAAATTCCTCAGAGGCTGTGCTAAATGTACATTATAAGACAGTGTTTGGTAAAACTGGACAATTATCCATCTTTAGTGTGTCTTAATAATAGAACTATCAGGGCCAGCAGGTGGCATGGTGGTTAAGGCGCTGGACTATCACCTTGCAGACAATGGTTCAAGTCCCAGACCTGGTGGCTTGCTTTCTCACTTTCCCTTTCTTTCTCTTTCTGTCTCTCTTTGTTCAAATTTTAAAAATAAAAATAATGGGACCAGCAGGTGGCATAGTAGTTAAGGCACTAGACTCACACATAGTCAGCTGTGGCTCGAGTCTGGATCTGGTAGCCTGAAACTCATGCCAGGCTCATGTGCACGCATGCCCCAAATCCCGAGAGGAGACTGGAGAAGGAATTGTGGCATGGCTATGCCCCCGGGGGATGACTTTTCACTTTCTGATTGTCTCTGTGACTGGCAAGCGTATATACCCTATAGCAAAAAATAATAGTAATAAAACCTTAAAAAAAAAAAAAGAGTAAAATAATTCTTTTTAAAAAGAGAACTATCATATATGACATTCCAGATGATTTTTGTGTGTTATCTGTTTGTTTTTCGTTTTTTATATTATAGCTTGGACAGCTGTTAGCAGCTACATGCAAAGAACTTCCAGGTCCTAAAGAAAGTCGACGCACAGCTAAAGACCTCTGGGAAGTGGTTGTCCAGATCTGTAGTGTGTCCAGTCAGCACAAACGCGGAAATGATGGCAGAGTTAGTTTAATAAAGCAGAGGGAGTCTACATTAGGTATAATGTATCGGTATGTTTATGTCAGTTCTATATTTTAGTTTTTGTTATTTAGATTATTTATGCTATTTTAAGAATGTCTACTTTGGGGACAAGCTGGTATTGTGGTGGTTATGATGGCTGGATCCCGATGGCTGATGCACAGTCCCAGACCTAGTAGCTTGAAAAATATGCTGAGCATGTGTGTGTGCATGGTCAAAATCCCAGAAAGAGAAATGAAGAAGGGATTGAGGCTTGTCCATTCGCCATGGGAAATGCTTTCTCACTTTCCCTCTCTCTCTGATGAGCATGTATGTCCTCTAGCAAAGAAAAAAAAAGAATGTCTACTTTTAGCCTGTGTTATTGTAATGTGAACAATCTTAAAAATTCTGTCATGGGGGGATCAGCAGTTAGTGTAATGGCTATATCGCTGGACTCCCATGTAGTTGACCACAGTTCGAGTTCTGGATCTGGTGGCTTAAACTCACACCGGGCGCATGTGCGTGCGTGCCCAAGATCCCGAGAGGAGAATGGAGGAGAAGGGGTTGTGGCGTGGCTATCCCCCCAGGGGGTGATTTCTCGCTTTCTGTCTCTCTGTCTCTGTCTTTCTGGCAAGTGTACGTGACCTATAGTAAAAACCTCTAAAAAAAAGTTCTGTGATGGCATATTTCTAATGGCCCTGTCTCAAGACTTACCTTTTATTTAAAGAGAGAATTTTTTACTGTATGGCATGTGTGCTTACCAGAGAGTCAGAGACAGAAAAACAGAAAGCAAGAAATCACCCCGCCGGAAGAATGGCCACACTGCAATCCCTTCTTCATTCTCCTTTTGGGATTTTGGGCATACACAGACATGTGCCCAGCATGAGTTTTAAGCCACTGGGTCCAGGACTTAAACTGTGGTTGACTGTGTGGGAGTCCAGCAACACAACCATTATGCCATCTTCTGGTCCTGTGTTTATGGTATTTTAAGAGATTGCTAATCATTTTATCAACTAGAATTAAAAATTAATAATGCCTGGGGCCAGCAGATGGCGTGGTGGTTAAGGCACTAGATTCCCACGTGGCTGACCGTGCTTTGAGTTCCAAACTGGGTTCAAGTACCTGGGCACCTTGAAAATCTCTCTGGGTGCATGTGCTTGTATACCCCAAATCCTGAGAACAGAATGGAGAAGGGATTGTAGTGTGACCATCCCCTGTTGAGGACAATTTCTCACTTTCCTTCTGTCTCTCTCTGGCAAGTGCACACACCACATGGGAAAAACATAAAATTAAATAAATAAATAAATGAATAAAAATTAAGAAAACCAGTAATATCTAAGGTTAGATAGTACTGATGGCTTCACCTGTGAATTAAACAAAGAAGAAGTGTTTTTAGGTTAGTATGATAAGAGAATTTTATTTTGTTTTTTATACATGTAGTATTAGAGAGTTAAGAATATGGGACCAGCAGTTGATGTAATGGCTATGTTGCTGGACTCCCATGTAGCCAACCATGGTTTGAGTCCTGAACCTGGTGGTTTAAACTCATGCCGGGTGTGCGTGCGTGCGTGCCCAAGAACCAGAGAGGAGAAGGGATTGCAACGTGGCCATCCCCCCGGGGGGGTGATTTCTCGCTTTCCGTCTCTCTCTGTCTTTCTGGCTAGCGTACTCGCCCTATGGCAAACACCTCTCCAAAAAAAAAAAAAAAGAAAAAAGAAAAAGAATAAACCTTTACTGGGACCAGCAGATAATGTAATTGTTATGCCACTGGACTGCCATGTAGTCAGTCAACTGTAGTTCAAGCCCTAGACCCAGCAGCTTGAAACTCACACCAGGTGCATGTATGTGAGTGCCCAAAGTTCAGAGAGAAGAATGGAGGAGAAGGAATTGCAGCATGGTCATCCCTCCAAGAGGGTAATTTCTCGCTTTCTATCTGTCTGTCTCTCTGGTGCATGCACATGCATTATAGCAAAATTATTTTTCAAAAAAAAAAAGACCTTCACATAAATTTACTTTCTTGATTTTATTTTTAATTTCTGATATTAAAGTATGGGTATAAAATTTTTTGTTTTTGTAGGAGCGAATTGCTTTCTTTTATCAAAAAGTTAAGGGTAAGTTTTATTAAAAATTAATTACTATTCCTGATTTTTGTAGAATATGACCCAAAACTATTGACTGCTTCAAATGCTGATTAAATTATTAAAGTGACCTGTTATGGTGCTTACATTTAATGATCATCGTTGGGAGTGAGATAATCTAAATAGAGATGTCTATTGTACTTCTCCTTGTTTTTGTGAATGGAACATGTATTTTTTTAATTGTGCAGAAGTCTCCATATTAGGACTAGATGTATGAAGCCTAGCTTTAGTTTTTGTTTGATAGCATGCATACTGTGCTTAAGTACTGAAAATAACCTAGATTTCATCTTTTAAAAATTATTTTAAAGAATAATTAAAAATGGAGTTGATCTTTATTATGCTAAACTAAATTAGATAGTAAACCTCAAAAAGATGTAAAGGTCTTTTGAAAGAATATACTTGATGCCTCTGAGGTTGAAAGAAAAATGTTAAAAATTATTTAAGGATTCTGTTTTCCTTCTCATAGGAACCATTGGTTTTGACTATTATTTTATCACTTTTTGTGAAACTTCACAATGTTCGGGTAAGTATTTCATAATTTAATTTTTAAAAAAATTAGGAAAAAGTTGCATTTTAAATTATGATCTTTTTTTTGTTCTTTTAAAAGGAGGACATTGTGAATGATATTACAGCTGAACACATTTCCATTTGGCCGTCTTCTATTCCCAAGTAAGTAGTGGTACAGCTTACGTTGTGTTACATTAGCTGTGTGTGTAGAAACCTATCCTGACTGGGTTAAATACCCTTAGATAATTTGATTAAAAGGCCACAAATCTGTTAGGATTCTACAGCCAGCTTTGCTCCTGGATTACAGTTATTATCTCCCTACAAATTATGGAGATGGCATAATTCTTAAGAACGATGGTATTTATCAGTCCTAGATAAAACAGAAGACCTAAGTGGTCCTGATGGTCAGAGAGTAGAATTAGAAAATAGAGGCTAATGAAACAATAGCCTTCAGCTTTCCAGCATCTTATGTCCTCTACAAATGCAGTAGTCCTCTGTTGTTCTCAATTTCACTTTTCATGTTTTCAGTAATTTCTGGTAAGTGTGGTCCAAATATGTTAAATGGAAAATTCCAGAAATAGGCTGTTCTTAAGTTTTATACTGCACACCTTTCTGAGTGGCACAACAAAATCTCACACAACCCTGCTCTGTCCTGACTGGGACATGTCCATCTTATCAATGCTATATATGCCATCAGCCCACCAGCCACCTAGTGGCTGTGTTGGTTATCAGGTGGACCATCTGTTCTGGTGTTGTAGTACTTTTGTTCAAGTAACTCTTACTTTACTTAATAATGGCCTTAAAGTGATGGAGACAAGCCAACGAGAAGCCAATAAATGCTTCCTTTAAAAAAAAAATTTCCTTTAAATTAAAAAGTGAGAGTTCTCAACTTCTAATATTTTGATTGCCAAAGACTCCTAACCCCTTTTAGCTGCTGTAGGAATTTCTTCAAGGAAATTTTCTCTCTTTCATTGCGTAAGAATCATAGTAAGAGATGAAGGAATTTTTGCTATAGGGTGCATATATAAGAGAGAGAGAGAACTTCCGGGTGGGGGAATGGCCACACTGCAATCCCTTCTCCATTCTTTTCTTGGGATTTTGAGAATGCACACACATATGCCCAGCATGTTTCTTAAGCTGCCAAATCAGGATTCGAACTGTGCAGCCAGCCATGTGGGTTCCAGCCACCCTATGATGCCACTGGCTAGCCTAAAATAAAGGAATTTTTTTTAAAAGAATTATTTAATTTTATTTATCCATTTATTTATTTATTTTAATTTGACCACAGAGTGGCAAGAGGGAGAGAGAGAGAATGCAAGCTACCAAGTCTAGGACTCAAACCGCAATGGGCCATGTGGGAGTCCAGCACCCATAATCACCACCTGTTGGCCCCAAAATAAAAGGAATTTTCTTAGTCAAGAACAAAGTGTACATTTTCTGAAAGTAGCAATTTACATTCTTTTCTAGAAGTAGCAGTTTACATACATAGCAACTTCTCATATGGGAGCGTCTGTCTCCTCATGAGTTTCTTTTCCTCCCTGCCCTCCCTTCCAGTCTTTTTACTTTGTGCTTGAAGAGCAAGGTCTAGGCCTTGTTTTACTGCACTTAGTGGCACCTTTGAAGAAAAAAGATTTTAGTAGGAAGGTAAGCAGTAACAGAATGAGAGTAAGTAATTGGCTTCCAGCTCAGTCTTTTTTTGAGAGGTTTATGCTATAGGGCGCTTGTACTTACTGGAGAAAGAGAGAAACAGACAGAAAGCAAGAAATCACCCCCAAGAGGGGATGGCCACACTGCAGTCTCTTTTCCTCTGTTTTCCTCTCAGGATTGGGCGCGCACACACACACACACACACACACATGTTCCTGGTGTGAGTTTTAAGACACCAGGTCCAGGACTTGAACCATGGTCGACTACATGGGAGTCCAGCAACATAACCAATATGCAATATATCTGCTGATCCCTCCAATCTTAGTCTTACAGATTAGAAGCAGTTCTCCATCTCATGTAGAGATTGGATTGTTTCCCATGCTCATGAAGGGCATGTGCAGCTCCACAGCACTCACTGTAGAGTACACCATCATTGTGTCTCTAACTTGTATGTGAAATTCGGTGTATTCTAATACCTCGCATTCTTTTTTTTTTTTTTAAGAATTATTTTATTTAGCTTTGTTTATTTATTTATTTAAATTTGACCAGAGGGGGCCAGAGTGAATGAGTGAAAGAGAGAGAGAGAAAGCGAGTAAGCAAGCTGTCAGGTCTGGGACTCGAACCATGGTTGGAGTCCAGGGTCCTTAACCACGACGCCACCTGCTGGCCCCTCTAGTACGTAACATTCTATTAGTATCCTAGAATCCGGTAAAGACAATTTTGCCTTATTATTTGGTAGTTTCAGTGGTTATGTTTGTTATCTCTTGGGTGTCACTTTTTTATTGCATTGATTGATTTGCAGTGTTTATAAATGAGATGAAAGAATGGTTTACCTCAGGGGCTCTGAGTCAGACTTAGAGAGTTTGAGTGTCAGCCTCTCCATTTACTGGGGAAAATGGGTATAAGGATAACGCCTCGGAAATCTGGGGGTTAAACCAAATGGATGCTTCCTTCTGTCTTTAGAAGAACAAAAGTATTTTTATTAGAGTAACAGTATTTAATGGTTTAGCAACTTTATATTCTTAATAGCTTTTTTTATTGTTATTACTGGTTTACATATAGTCATTGTACATCTCTGTGGGCTACTGTGTAGTTTCTCAAAGCATGGATACAGTGTGTAACAAATCAAGGAAGTAAACATACTTGTCCTCTTTGGCATTGAACATGATGCTGTGCATGTTTGGTAATTTTGCACTCATTTATTTTCATAATATACTTCATCAGCAACATTTTTTATTCTGCTGTGGCACACTGTTTCACGTGCTTACATGTGTTCTTGTGGCATTAGTGATTTTTCTCCCAAACCTTCCTTCTCTCCTCTAGTTAAATGTTTTAAGCTTGGTGTTCAGAATAAGGTCTGGCTTAATTATTGTATTCATGATAAACATACTTAGATGTTAACTGACACAGAGAAAATAAAATGTGACTAAGTGACTAGAAAACATACTTCCTATGAGCAGCAGGAAGTATGTTTTTTTTTTTAATAAATATAGCAATCATATTCTAAAAACAGAATGGCACTAGAATTCTTAGACATTTTAACATTTTTGTAAATGTTTATGAAATGTAATCATAAGCCAATTTAGCTTATTTAGTTGTAAATAAATAATTATGTATTTGTCACTAATACCACAATTTCTTTCCCATTGTACTGGGTACAGTGGCAAGTCATATAAAATATAGCCCCTTAGGGCAACAGAAATATTTCTTCAAGTTCACCTTGTAAATGCAAGAGCCAGGAATTGAACCCCCTGTCTAAATGCAATCCTGTGTTCTCCACCATTGTGCTTTACTGCTTCAAGGAATTAGGAGCAATCTCGAGCCTTCCTCGTTCAACCAGGCTCAAAACAGCTGCTCTGTTACTCTTCTCCTCACTCTCTATTGCTATTGAGTACACTGAAGTTGTATACCTGCCCCTTATAGCCCCTAACTCCATCAGGGCCAGCAAAACATCTCATCCAGGGCAGCTGGTTGCTCTTGCAAGAAGCCATGAACTAGGTTGAAGTCCACACAGCAGAACTGTCAGTGTTTGAACCCTTGTGTTTTCTGGCTTCTTCTCGATAATAGAACTTAAAAACCATTCCAAGAAGTATTGTCTGTAAATTGTGCTAAAAGTAGAGATAAGAGTTTTATCCTACCATTTTTATGTATTTCAAATATTTGTAAAAGGTGTAAAGGTATGTTTTTGGTGTAGTCTAGTCTGTCTCCTATGCCATTTTGGTAAAAGGAAACAAATCAGATTGTTTAATTTCTTACTAAAAGTAACTCCTCATACTTTTTCATACTTAGTTGTTTTGCTTGCGTATATTTATTTTTAGTAATTAGCATTTTACTTATGGTTATGTAATAGTAAATGAATGTATGGAATTTGATTTGACTTTAAAAATAGAGACTAATATTGGGTGTCTTTCTTTAGCCTCCAGTCTGTGGACTTTGAAGCTGTGGCAATCACAGTGAAAGAGTTAGTTCGGTATACACTCAGTATAAACCCAAACAACCATTCCTGGTTAATTATTCAGGCAGACATTTATTTTGGTAAGTGAGATTTGGGGTTGCTTATGTTTTGTTTTAGAAGTGAAAGTAAGTACTTACACATTATATTTTAATACTTTATGCAATTTAAGTTTTGTATTTAAAATAACTTTGCTAGGCCTGGCAGTTGGCATGGTGATTGGGGCGCTGGATTCCCACATGGCTGACAGTGATTTGAGTCCCAGACTTGGTGGCTTGCTTTCTTAGTTTCTCTCTCTGTCTTATCAAATTAAAAAATAATAATAATGGTGAATAAAATTAAAGAAATTATTTTTTTTTATTTTTGGAGAGGTTTTTTGCTATAGGGCACGTGCACTCGCCGGAAAGACAGAGATAGAAAGAAAGCGAGAAATCACCCCCTGAGGGGGATGGCCATGCTGCAATCCCTTCTTCATTCTTCTCTCGAGATCTTGGGCACGCACGCACACACACCTGGTGTGAGTTTAAGCCATGGGGTCCAGGACTCGAACCACGATTGACTACATGGTAGTCCAGCGACATAGTCATTACGCTAACTGCTGGTCCCAAGAAATTAATTATTTAAACAAAAAACTTTGCCAGAGAGTTCTTATGCTCTGGGGAAGGCTGGGAAAGAAATGAGAAATCACCCCCCCCCCCCCCCCCCGCCATGGGGAGTGGTCATGCTGTAATCTCTTCTCCATTTCTCCCTTCTTTTGGGATTTTTATACATGCATCCCCATGCACCCAGTATGTTTCTCAAGCCATGGGATCCAAACTGAACCACACAGTTGGCTATGTGGGATCCAGCCACCTCAACCATCACACCACAGGATAGCTCAATAATAGCCAATTTTAATATTTATTTTTATTGCAGTTCTCCAAAGAACTTAACATCAAGATCTTAAAATCTATTTATAGAATAGGTAGGTCGGATGAACATTCTGAAAATCTGAAATCTGAAATGCTCCAGAATCTGAAACAATTTTTGAGCACTGACATGGAATCAAAGTCGTAAATTCCATGTTATGGAATGACATATGACCTCATGTTATGATTTGTAGTCAAAACAGCATATTGGGGGCCAGCAGGTGGTGTGGTGGTTAGGGCGCTGGAATTCCCACATGGCTGACTGTGGTTCAAGTCTTGGACCTGGGGGCTTGCTTTCTCTTTCTCTCTCTCTCTCTGTCTCTCTCTCTGTCTCTCACTGTCTTTCTCTGGCAAAACTCATGTGAAAAAAGATAAATAAAATAATTTTTAAAAAAACAGCAAGGAAAAGTCATGACGTATTTTTTCTTTTTTTTCTTTTTCTATACAAAAATGTATCATAAATACAAAAATACTGTACCAAATTACCTTCAGGCTGTTTGTATAAGGTGCATATAAAATATTAAATTTTGTACGTAAACCTGGGTTTCATTTCCAGGATAGCTCATTGTGTCTAGACAGATATTTCAAAATGCAAAAAATCTGAAATCTGGAACACGTCTCTTATGCATTTTTGGAAAATGGATATCCTATACTAGTTCTTGTTTTGTTTCGTTTCTTTTTTCTTTTCTCTTTTCTCTCTCTCTCTCTCTCTCTCTCTTTCCTTTTACACATGCTTGTGTATGTTTGCTCACCAGAGACAGAGAGTAAGAGTGGGAGGAAGTGAGAAAGCACATCCTATAGCCATGGGGGATAGTCATGCTGTAATCCCTTTTCCTCCATTTCTCCTTTTAGGTTTTTTGTTTGTTTGTTTGTTTGTTTTTGAGAGGCTTTTTGCTACAGGGCACGTGCGCTCACCAGAGAGACAGAAAGCGAGAAATCACCCCCCCCCCAGGGGGCGATGGCCACTCTGCAGTCCCTTTTCCTCCATTCTCCTCTCGGGATTTTGGGCACGCATGCACACCGCCCAGTGTGAGTTTAAGCCACCGGGTCCAAGACTCGAACCGCAGTTGACTGCATGAGAGTTCAGCGACATAGCCATTATGCTAACTGCTGGTCCCATCTCCTTTTAGGGTTTTGGGTACTCACTTACCCACCAGGTCTATGACTTGAATTGTGCAGTCAGCCTTGTGGAATCCTGTCACCTTAATCACATCACCTCCTGGCCCACACTATACTAATTCTGAACTACCTCAAAATATTAGGATATGTTTCTAGTTTGTATATTTCATTCATACATACCTCCAAATACTAAATTCTGTACTGGTAAATTTGATGAGAAATCTGAGCTAAATTCTTGGCAAATCAGTTTTAGGAGAAAAAGTCTATTACATTGTTGGTTTTTTGCTTTTTTCAAAATTCACCACAAGTTGCATGTGTTGACCAGAGAAAGAAAGCACCCTCTTTGGGGGATGGCTATACTGCAGTCCCTTCTACATTTCCCTTCTTTCAGGATTTTGGGCATACATGCACACATGCTTGGTGTGTTTTTGTCCCCAAGCCACCAGATCTGGGACTTGAACCATGTAATAGGCCATGTGGGATCCAGCCAGCTTAATCACCATGCCACCAACTGGCCCTATATTGCCTTTTTTTGTGTGTTTTAAATTTTGCTTTAGAGCATATAAATTTGGGGGGGAGGAGTAGTGGAAGAAACAGAGAAAGCATCCCTCAGGGGGATGGCTATACTGTAATCATTTCTCCTCCATTTCTTCTCTTGGGATTTTGGACACACACAAACATATCTGGTATGTTTTTTAAGCCACCGAGTTTGGGGCTCGAATTTCACAGTTCAGCTACTCCAACCATCATACCACTGGCTATCCCACTATATTGCACTTGTAATTGGTTTAAAAGGTAAATAGAGGCAGTTTATCTCAGTGTTATCCTAAGTATAGAGTTTTATCCCTAAATGTATGGTTTGAATCTGCTTTTGCCAACTTGTGAAGTCACAAAACGTTCTGTCTGTTGTACTGCTGTACCATCTAATGATAGCTGATTCTGTATTTCTGTTCTCCACTTCAGCCACAAATCAGTATTCAGCAGCTCTTCACTATTACCTCCAGGCTGGAGCTGTGTGTTCTGACTTCTTTAATAAGGCTGTGCCCCCTGACGTGTATACAGACCAGGTCAGTTCTTGTGGGCTTTACTTTCTTCTTGCTGCCTTTACATGTTCTTTCTGGGCCCTCTTTGGCTGAACATTTTCCTGAGTGTGATAGTAACTGCCAAGTTAAGGTTTCTAAACCAGAATGTTCCTCCTATTTCCAGCACCTGTTGCTGCATTAATTCCCCCAAAACACCTCAAACCCAGCCTGTTCAAAACTGACTTCAGCGTCTTGTCTTTACCAGGCTTCCTCCTTCTAATGGGGTTTTTCTGGTGGTGCCCTTCTCCACACACACACACACACACACTAAAATACCTACTGCTTTGAACCATTTGAGTTACCAAGCCAAAATCGTATCATCTTTAACTCTTTTTGTTACCTTACTGAGTTTTCCACCAACATATGTTCAGCTCTCAAATCATATTGATTCTGTCTCCTAAATCTTCAGCTCTTTTTCCTCATTTTTTTTTGGGGGGGGGTATAAATTTATGGCATGATGCTTTGATGTACATAATGAAATGATTATTACAAGCATATCACTTTCCATATTTACCCTTTTTTTGTGATTAAGGTGCCTTGAATCTACTCTTTTAGTAAGTTTTTTAGTGTACAATGCAGCATTATCAATTTTAATCCTTATTGCTAGGCTTTAAACTTATTCTAATTACAAGTTTGTGCCCTTTGACCTATATCTCATTTCTTTATCCTCACCCATGGTATCACATTTTGTTCATTGTCTGGGACCAGCAGTTGGAGTAATAGCTATGTTGCTGGACTCCCATGTAGTCAACCACGGTTTGAGTCCTAGACCTGGTGGCTTAAACTCACACCAGGCAAGCATGCATGCATGCCCAAGATCCTGAGTGGAGAATAGAAGAGAAGGGATTGCGGTGTGGTCATCCCCTCCAGGGGCTGATTTCTCGCTTTCTGTCTCTCTCTCTCTGTCTTCATGGTGAGCGCATGCGCCCTATAGCAAAAACCTCTCCAAAAATTTTTTGTTGTTGTTCATTTTCTTCCTAATTTTTTTTGACTACATTGTGATTCCCCTGCCTCAGCCTCCTCAGTAGCTGGGACTGTTGACATGGCTGGGACTATAAGCACCACAGTGTCTGATCATTTTCTTTTGATATGCATGCTGTTTCCTGTGATTTAGGTTACCAGTATCATAACTTAACAGATGGCATTTTTCTTTTCTTTTCAAATGGTTAGAGGGTGTGCTCATCAAAGACCGAGAGGAAGAGAGGGGAAAAGGGAAAGAAAGCACCAACCAGTGCGGCATGGTTATGCCACGGTCCCTTCTCCATTTCTCTATCCTGATGGGATTTGGGTATGCATGCACATGTGCCTGGCATGCTTTTCAAGCCACAGGGTCCAGGACTTGAACCAAAATTACCCACATGGGATCCAGCTTTCCTTAATTACTAATCTGGGCTGGCCCAGTGGCATTTTTCAATATTTATTTAATAAATAACTTTAGTTTTGTAGCAAAATCAAGCTTTAAAGTTCCTATGTACTCCCTGACCTCCTCTGCTCCAATACACACTTTTTTTTTGGAGAGGTTTTTTTTTTGCTATAGGGCGCGTGTGCTCGCCAGACAGAGAGAGACAGAGAGACAGAAAGCGAGAAATCACCCCGCAGGGGAGATGGTCACGCTGCAATCCCTTCTCCTCCATTCTCCTCTTGGGATCTTGGGCATGCATGCACATGCGCCCAGCGTGAGTTTTAAACCACCGGGTCCGGGACACGAACCACAGTCGACTACGTGGGAGTCCAGCGACATAGCCATTACGCTAACTGCTAGTTCCCTCCAATACACACTTTTGACATCCAGGATGAGAGTGGTATATTTGTTATAGTTGTTAAACAGTTTCTGAAAACAGTCATAATTTTGTTTTTATAGGTGATAAAACGAATGATAAAATGTTGTTCTTTGCTGAATTGCCACACACAGGTTGGTTCATAACATTATGATGGTTTATTTTTATTTATGTTTGAGTTTATAATATTTATAAAGCATTAGATTGGGCTTTGTCTTGCATATTAAAATTACATACAGTAGTTTTGTATTTCCATATCAAAGTTACTTACATTTATAGTGTTTAAGAGTTTGATATATTCTTTAGATTTTTTTTGTGGGGGGACAGTTATAAGGTATATGTGCTTGGCAGAGAGAGAGAAGAAAAGTGGGAAATCACCCTATCAGGGTGGATGGCCAAGTCTTAGTACTTTCTCCTCCATTCTCTTCATGGGATTTTGGCATGCATGCATATAGCCCAATGTATTTTTCAAGTTGCGGGGTCCAGGATTTCAACAAGGTAGTCGACTATGTGACACCCAGCCTCTCCAACCACCATGCCAACCAAGCCTTGTCATGACACTTTTACAGGGCAGTTTTCCATGCCGTCCACTTCAGTGTTTTGAAATGGCTCTTTGTCAGTTTCTTAGTCATATAAACAAAGCTTTAAGAATTTATTTGAAAAAAGTACTTGTCAGCCACTTTTGTAAAGGTTTTTGAAATTAAAATTGGATGGAATCCATAAATAGGAGCTGACCCTATTTGTGCAAGTCTTCTTAAAGAATGTATTCTGGGGGCCAACAGGTGGCATGGTGGTTAGGGTGCTGGACTCCCACATGGCTGACTGCAGTTTAAATCCCAGATCTGGAGGCTTGGTTTCTTACTTTCCTCTCTAATGATTATAGTAAATTAAAAAAATAATCATAACGATAAATAAAATAATTCTTTTAAAAAGCTGTACCTTTACTTAAAAAAATGTATTCTACATATAATTTTTAGTTTACCCTCTATAATCAGTTGTTACATGAAACCATTTTCAAATCTGTTTTTATAGGTGGCAATTTTATGTCAGTTCCTCAGAGAAATTGACTATAAAACAGCCTTTAAATCACTTCAGGAACAAAACAGGTATGAAAGAATTTTAAAATAAAATGAGGATGAGACTTTACTACTTGAGAAAAAGGAAATAACTGAATTCTTTTTTTCAGTCATGACGCTATGGACTCCTACTATGACTACATATGGGATGTTACCATTTTGGAATACTTGACTTGTATCCTTTCATCAATGTATGTGATGTTAGAACAGTTCACCTCTATAAATTAAAAAAGTATTTAATATTGTGTGCATATTTTCCAAGCCAAAACTGAAAAACCAAGTTGAGGATCTATCATCATATTTAATACTATCAAATTTACTATTATTAAAAAATTGCCAGAAGACCTACGTGCTTGCTGAAGAGAGTGAGCAAGAGCGAGAGAATGCACGTGCACACGTTCTCTCCAACGGGTCATGGTCATGCCATCCCTTTTTCCTCCATCTCTTCCCAGTCAGGATTATGGGAATACACACACGAACCCAGTGTTGTTTTTCGAGCTGCAAGGGTCAGGATTTCAAACTTGGTCCTTCATGTAGGACCTGGCTTTCTAGACATGGCTTTTAACTCCTGCTCTACAGAGACAGCCAAGCTTTATTCTTAACTTACTCATTCAGATCTTCATCATAAAAGAGGAGAAACAGATAAAAGGCAAATTGCAGTAAGTTACCTTATGTTTTTCTTTCATGATATATTTGGTTTTCAGATGTTAAACAATTGCTAAGATTTGAATCAACCAAAAAAATTTTTATGTGTGCCTAGTTACTGCCAGGATTTGGTTATCAGTAGTTACTTTTTAAAAGATTCTTTTTAGATAATATGAACTGTGCCATCTTGTTTTATTTTAAAATGTTTACTTACGTCATTTCTCTGCTCTAAACTTTCAAGTGGATTCTCATCTTACAGTCAAAGTCCTTGCGCTGGCCTACAAAGCTGCATGGGCCTTAACCTCCAGCCTACCTATCCAGCTTTGCCCCTTGCTAACTTCAGCTACACCAGTGCTTCTGTTGTTCTTTGAACATTGACTATGTAAGGGCTTTTGAAAATTTCTCTTCCAGGGACAGTTTACCTCCGGTCTCTCAATCGTGACCTTCTTAGAGATGTCCTTTCCTATCTTATAAAATAGCAATGTCTCTTGCCTTTGTCTCCAATACTCTTATTCTTGTTTCCCTTTCAAAATTTTTCTCTATAACACTTACCAAGATCTGACACACTATATATTTACTTATTTATCACCTGTTTCCCCACAAGGGTAAGATTTTGTCATAGTTGGTGCCTTTTATTTTGTAGACATTTTTGCTATAGGCCATGTGTGCTTTCTGAAAAGACAGACAGACAGAGAAACAGAAAGTGAGAAATCACCCCTCGGGGGGATAGCCCTGCCACAATCTCTTCTCTTCCATCTTCCTTTGGGATCATGGGCACCCATACACAAGTGCCCAGATAGTTGGTAACTATTGATAGAATGGTGCCTGGCACATAGTAGGTGCTCAGTAGTTAACAGATGAATTATTTATTTGAGTTACAGCTAAAACTTTTATAGCCATTTCTACTTTCCTAACATCTGCTGTATCAGTATCATAGATACTTTCTTTGCTCTTTCATTCATATTAACAAGTATATACTGTTAAGTATCTTTCAAATGGCCTAAATTGGCTACCCATTAGTTGAAGCAATGACAATAGCACCTTTTGGGGAGAGAAAAAAATGGAAAAAGAATATAAAGTAGCTCTACTTGATTGAGGGCTACTCATCTCTCATTTCCAGTTTACCTGGGTTTGGAAGGCAATACTGAAATTTTTGCTATTACCAAATAATTTCTACACACACATGTATTTTTAAAGCCCCTTCTCCTTAAAAGCATATGTCTGTCTCCTTACTCATTCACTTAACCTCCTGGCTACGCCTCTACATTCATCAAAAGAGACATGATGAACTTATCTGTCATCCCTAGCCATATAGGTCCTTGCCAGTCCCAGTTCCATTGTGTAGTGTCATCAGCTTCTTTTTTTTTTTTGGCTAGAGGGCTAATGCAGTCACTGAGGACACACATACATTCACACAGAAAAATGAAAAAGTACCGCTCTTTCCAATTGAGAATGGTCATGCTGCAAACCCTTTTCCATTTCTCCCTCATTTTGGGATTTTGGACATGCATATACATGTGTCTGATATGTTTTTTGGTTTTGTGTTTGAAGAGAGATTTTTGCTGTAGGATGCGTGCACTTGCCAAAGAGACAGAGCGATACAGAGAGAGAAAGTGAGAAACCACACCCTGGGAGAGGATGGCCATGCCACAATCCCTTCTCCATTCTTCTCTTGGGATTTTGGGCACATATGCACACACACCAAACATGAGTTTCAAGTCTCTGGGTCAGGGATTTTTTTTTTTTTTTTTTTAGAGATTTTTGCTAGAGGGCGTGTGCGCTCACCAGAAAAACAGAGAGACAGAGAGATAGAAAGCAAGAAATCACCCTCCAGGTGGGAAAGGCCATGCTGCAATTCCTTCTCCTCCATTCACCTCTTGGGATCTTGGGTATGCGCACACACATGCGCCCAGTGTGAGTTTAAGCCACTGCGTTCAGGATGCGAACTGCGGTTGACTACATCGGAGTCCAGCGACATAGCCTTTACACTAACTGCTGATCCCTGGGTCAGGTACTTGAACTGTGGTTGGCCCTGTGAGAGTCTAGAACTTTAGCCACTATGCCACCTACTGGCCTGTCCAGTATGTTTTTTGTTTGTTCGTTTAACTTTATTTATTATTACTTTTTTAGGTTTGCCATAGGCTCACTTGAGAGAGTTAGAGAGAGAGAGAGAGAGAGACAGAGAAAGCAAGCTACCAGGTCCAGGACTCAAACCACAGTTGGCCATGTGAGAGTCCAGCACCTTAACTACCATGCCACCCACTGCCCTCTCAGTATGTCTTTAAAGCTGCTGGTCTGGGATGTAAACACTATAGTTGACCATGTGGGGCCAGCCACCTTAACCATCAGGCCACAGGCTGGCACTGTAGCCCTATCTTATTGCCAGCCCAAGTTGTTCTACATAAGATTTTTTTTTTTTTTTTGAGAGAGATTTTTGCTCTAGGGTGTGTGCACTCGCCAGAAAGAGAGAGACAGAAAGTGAGAATTCACCCCCCAGGGGGGATGGCCACACTGCAGTCCTTTCTCCTCCATGCTCCTCTCGGGATCTTGGGCGCGCACGCACACGCGCCCGGCGTGAGTTTAAGCCACCGGGTCCGGGACTCGAATCGCGATCGACTACATGGGAGTCCAGTGACATAGCCATTATGCTAACTGCTGGTCCCTCTACATAAGATCTTAAAGGGTAACCCACTCTCTGCCAGTATCTGTCCTCCTCTGATTTTCTGGCTCCTGTACTCTTCATAATCAGTGAGATATTCCTATCTGTATCTGTTTTAGTCTGTCAACCAATTATATCCCTTTTCACCCCAAGTACAGTAGATACTAGTACTCATAGGTGTTGATTATATTAGTTTGGGGAGAGGAACTGGAATCATTTTTTAAGTTTCTCAGAAGCCCCTACTAACTGTGGTTGACTATCAACTCTGACCAGTATCTTTGGCAGCTGTCTTTGTTTTGTTTGTTCTTTATCTTACCTGGAAAAGTCCTAGCCCTGAACTGGGTCAATAATTATTTTCTTTTCTTGGGCCATTGAGTTTGTTGGAAAATATTCTAGAACCATATAGACTCTGGTTTTGCGACCAAACCGGTCTAATCTTGCTGACTCCTTAGCTCTTTTAATTGTTTTGAGTGCCATAAGTCAGAGGTCTGCACTCTTGTCAGATATTATAGACTTTCTTCCTGTTGAGCCCCTTGTCCTCTCTATCTTTTCCATTCTTAGTACCTTTCTTGCCTCCTTTTATCCACCCCCCCACCCCCAGAGATTTTTGCTTTAGGGCATGTGTACTTGCTATAGAGAGAGAGAGAGACAAAGAACAGGAAAGTGAGAAATTACCCCCCAGAGGGGATGGTCACACCATAGTTCCTTCTCCATTCTCCTCTTGGGATCTTGGACACACACAAGTACCCAGGGTGACTGTCAAGCCACCAGGTCTAGGACTTGAACCACAGTCAGGTATGTGGGAGTCCAATGATGTAGCCACTACGCAATCTGCTGGTCTCAACTTTCTTGCCTCTTATATGCTTGGGATAAACAGAAAAGACTGACCATTCTCTGTCCTCATGGAGCTAATAGCCTTTGGCTCAATGAGTCCTTGCTTTCACTTTTAAAGTGATTTATAGCTATACTCATCATTAAGCCCACTCTGCAAGTACTTCTTGATGAAGGCAACTTTTTGTTTTATTGTCAACCTTTCCCATAGGCTATGAACTATTTCATTCTTTACAAAAACTTTCCTCCACTTGCCCCCTACTCTGGCTACCTTTTATCCCTCAGCCTGGGTTTTTTTTTTTTTTTTTTTTTTTTTTTTGGAGAGGTTTCATTACAGGGCGCGTGTGCTTGCCAGGCAGACAAAGAGAGACATAGAGACAGAAAGCGAGAAATCACCCCCCAGGGGGGATGGTCACACTGCAATCCCTTCTCCTCCATTCTCCTCTTGGGATCTTGGGCTTGCACGCACACGTGCCCGGCCTGAGTTTTAAGCCACTGGGTCCAGGACGTGAACCGTGGTCAACTACGTGGGAATCCAGCGACATAGCCATTACGCTAACTGCTGGTTCCCCCTGATCATTTTTTTTAATCAATTTTTTTCCATTGACTTAACTTTTAATTATTTAGTTTTGCTATGGGCATGTGTTCCTAGGAGACATTGAGGGATGGTGAGAAAGCATCTCTAGAGGGCCTGGCCATGCTGTAGTCCCTTTTCCCCTGTTGTCCTCTTGGGATTTGGGGGCACATGTGCCCACCATGTTTTACAGGACTCGAACCACACTGTCACATGGGATCCAGCCACCTTGACCACTGTGCCAGCCTGCTACTCTCAGGATCTTGGGCACACATGCACACGCGCCCGGCGTGAGTTTTAAGCCACCGGGTCTGGGACGCAAACCACTGTCAACTACGTGGGAGTCCAGCGACATAGCCATTACGCTAACTGCTGGTCCCTATAGCCAGTTGTCTTTAAGAGAATTTGTTTGAAACTATTTTAGTTATACCCCTGCACCAGCCTTTGCCATATGCTGTGCTTTATACTAAAATGGCACCATCTAGCAAATTCCTTCTATTCCCTAACCCCCATGCTAAACTGACCATGACTATCATTTCTGAATAGTAATAACTTCCCTCAAGCCATATAGCGTAATTTTTTTGTTTCAAAAGGAAAAGATAGTTTATTAAGTAAGAGTGAAAGTATATTCCTGAGGGGTAGGATCGGGCCTTAGCAGAGTTGCTCAAAAGCCCCAGCAGTTACATTGTGAGATTTACTATTTTTTTTTTTTAAAGAATGAACTGTATTTAATTTTAAAAGGGAGAAGGGGTGTACCCCACAAATGATACAGTAATGTGGATACCTAATTTAAATACCATAGCATGACTGAAGGCTTTTACTGTGTTTGACGTCACCACAATAGAAGGCATAAAAAGTGGAATAAATTAATGTTGACACAGTTCAATCTAGCCCATTAGGCAAGATGGTGCAATAAATCATTTAAATAAAAAGTGCCCTATCCTTACGCAAATGGCTAGCAGACATGGAGAACAGCACGGTGAATCCATAGAACTTTCTCCACGTAGCTACAGAAATGCATTATTAAATGGCACACTGTCAAACACTGGAATGAGTGCCACAATGGACCTCTCTCTTTTATAGCTACAAATGCTAAATTTAGCTCTCTCAACTAAGCAGGAAGTGGGCTCTTCTGCTAGTAATGCCAACCCTAATTCACTTTGTCTTGAAATGTGTACAGAATGTTGGCAGTAGCTACAGCAGTGATACTCTCCTTGAGGTGCCAGGCTCTATGAAGGATTTTCTTGTTGAAGTCTAGGCTGCCAACACTTATTTCATCTTCTTTTCTCTTGCCACTTGCACAGACTTCGTGTGGCTTCAGGACTGTGCGAGGCTTGTTGTTTCCCCATGATGCTTCTAGGGTTATGTCTTGTTTTGTGTTCCTGTCAAACATTCTGAAGAAATTATTGTAAGATCCAGTCATGACAACACTGTCAGACCCATTCCAACAACATTCAGATTCATAAAAAATGCAATAGTTTTCATACAGTGAACAAAGTTTACTTCTGAGGTATTCCTGCACCTGGTATGTTTCCACAGGCCTATTTTCCATATTCAAGTCCTAGATTTTGACTGATAAATAGTCTTTAGTTATCATATATCTACCACTATGGCTGAATTTTACATCAGAAATAGGAGGTGATTTCAGGGGGAAAAAAACACACACACACACACACCTATTACTGGGATCATCAGGTTCTCCAAACAATTTAGAATGCCTATTGCAGAGGGCAAATGGCCTCATGTCACATAACCGGATAGTTCCTTTAATGCCACTGTATACAGCTATTTGGATGGAATTCTGCTGGCTGTGATTCTTTCTCTTAGCTCTTCCATATTTGCAGGCTTGATATCCATATCTGGATAGTAAAACTCTTGTCTGTGATTTCCAGATGCCAAAGATTAATCTGCACATCATCTGCAGATAAATGTTTCATAATCACTATTAATAGAAATTGAATTAATGTGACATGTATGAGCTTTGGCAAATAATTCTTCATGGACTGGCCTCAACCATCAGATCCATAGGCCTAAAGACTGGCACTCAGGGGACCAGCATTTAGTGTAATGGCTATGTTGCTGAACTCCCACGTAGTCGACTGTGGTTCAATCCCGGACCCGGTGGCTTAGACTCACGCTGGGCATGTGTGCGTGCGTGCCCAAGATCCTGAGAGGAGAAAGGAGAAGGGATTGCGGCGTGGCCATCCCCCCTGGGGGGGGTGAGTTCTCGCTTCCTGTCTGTCTTTCTCCTTCTGGTGAGTGCACGCACACTCTAGCAAAAACCTCTCCAAAAAAAAAAAAGACTAGTACTTAGCGTTATATCTGTAGTAGGATCTCTGTACCTTCCACTTTCCTCTTTCAAATTATGTCCTTCTAGTCTTTCCTCTCACTCATTTTCCATAATTTCATTGTCTCGTTATTGGTAGACAGTAAAAATTGAGCAGTATTTTCTGGGGTAACTACCTAATTTTGTTGACCTTTTCTATTATTTCTAAACTTTTCAATTAGTCAAACTCTGGTTCATGACTCTGGAAGGTGCTGTAAACATATTCTCCTCTGCTAGTGGACTGGTTTTGTTCTCCTGCTCCTGTTGAAAGATGACGACTCTACCACCTTTATCTCCAGTTGCTAGTAATTCTCCAGAATGATTAAGTTCTATCATAGAAATTGTATCAGCTTCTGCTACATCATCTGTTGCTCCTTTCACCTGTGAAAAATACCACTGAATATCATTCCCTCCTCCAGCTCTGTATATTAAAGGCCTTGGCATTCTTCAGTCATAAAGGATGAGATGGAAGACATGGTTTGAAACAAAAAATTCAAGCTAATAGTCTTGAGATTTACAATTTTTAAATCGAGATCATGTCAGTCAGTCATTGACTGGGTCCACTGATTGTTCCATAGGGGGCCAGCAAGTGGTATGGTGGTTATGGTGCTGGATTCCCATGTGGCCAACTGCGGTTCCAGTCCCAGACCTAGCAACTTGAAACTCATGCTGGGCATCTGTGCGTGCATGCACAAAATCCTGAGAGAAGGGGTTGTGGTATGGCCATCCCCTCAGGGAGTGATTTCTTACTTTGTCTGGCGAGTGCACACACCGTATAGCAAAAATCAATCTCTTAAAAAACAAACAAGCAAAAATCTACTAAGAACTAAGGATCTTTAGTAGGTTGAGATACTTTTTTTCCAATCTTGAAAAATCAAGCCATTGTAGTTGTTATATAATGCTGAACAGGTAGCTAGTTTTGTACTCGAAAACTGAAGCCTGGTACCAGCAAATGGCATAGTGGTTACATTGCTGGACTGTCAGGTAGCCAACTACAGTTAAGTCCCAGATCTGATGGCTTGAAACTCACACTGGACATGCATGCATGTGCATTTGTGCCCAAGATCATTCCAGGAGGGGAAGGGATTGTGGCATGGCTATCTCCCGCAGGAGGTAATTCCTCATTTTCCCTTCCACTGTCTGTTTCTCCCCCTCGCCAGTGCATGCACCCTAAGGCAAAAAACTTTAAAAACAAAACAAAACTGAAGCCATT